ACATGAACCCACGTGCACTAAAATGTCAAGTGCAGTAAGGACTGAGAAGTGTTGTGCAGTGGGCTGCGAAGTGTGTCCTGGGCACTGACACGTGCTTCATGTTTCATCTCCTACAGGAAGGAGTACTGCTGGCACTAAAATCGTGCAAAGCAATAGTAGTGATAAAAATCCCCATTTTACACATTAATCTTCCGTCCTTCTTCGTCTCAAGATAACTTGAGTGGACTTAGCAAAGACACAAGGACAAAAACTGGGAGAAGAATCTCTAAGTCATCTCGACAACTTCTCTGATTTTGAGAGAGAAAAGCAAAACAAAATAGACACATTCAATCTCTGAAAGGGAGGACAGATCCCGAAGAGGGAGATGAGAAACCAGGGGGAGGGGTATGTGATAAAATGGGGAGGTGGGCGAGGGCAGGAAGAGATTGATGAGTAGTCTGAATTGTTGAATACAGTTGATGGTCTGAAACAATACAGTCCCATCTAATTCACAATAAAAAAATCATTTACTAAGAATTAAAAGGCATACCCTATAACTATATATTTACTTTTAAAAAAAGGATCTAGGGAATATTCTATCAGGTGTTTTTTTTTTTATTTAAGTCAATCGAGATGCTATTTCTTGAAATTCTTCATTTTGTCTGGCAAATCTGTTCATTCTCATCTTTGATATTGAAGAAGATGAATAGAAGTTCAACTTTTTGTTCGGTGCACTTGTACTCCTTGAAAAATGTTCTTGTTTTATTTAAAGTCAGTCAAAATTTTAAAAAATAAAAGTGTTTTGAGTCAGTGTTATTTGATTAAATAACTTTAAATTTACCTATTGCAAACCAGAAGTTGAAAGTTTACTATGAATTTAGACTTCTACATCTGGGACATTATACAGCACACTATCATATAAAATATGTGAATAATGATATAGCAATTTAAAATACTTAAATCTTTTCAGAATTAAAAAATGTCAGAATTAATATCTATGGTTTGTATGAAATAGCATAAAAATCCTATTAAAAAGAAAATCCTCACAAACCAAAATGATTCAACAGAAAAAAATAAATTTCATAGTTGATTAATTAAAATTAACATGGAAAAGAACAAGTATAAATTTTGAGTATACTGTACACTCTGTTTATGTCTCTACTGGTACAATTTAGAGCTCCTTTCCATTTGATCTATCACCTACAAGAAAATTGAAGAAATTCATTATAAATTATTTCTTCTGGAAACACAAAAGAGAAAAGGATATGGTTATGTGATTTAAGGCCTGAACAATTACAAAAGACAAGAGATGAAAGATTTAACTTTCTCCAGAGAAGTTTCCTTTAAAGGGCAAACAGTTCTCAAATTAAAATGATTATAATAAATAAGTATACTGCTCTTTTGATTTGAAAAACACTCTATGGTAGCTTTTATTAACTAATCCTTTAAACCATTATGGCTGTGACATGTCTTTTAGGAAGTAAAATAAGTTACTTAAATATTTTTACTCCTGAAACAAAACTTATCATACAGATGTAGAATGATTTTCCAGTCCTTAAAAAAGTTTAATAGCAGAACTGCAGAATAAAATCCTAAAATCTGTGGATCTATCCAGTACAAAATTTATCCACTGAATGTAGCTCTCTCTCAAAACATTTTTATTGTTTAATAAAATCATTTTGAAAAATAGAAACGACAGATTTTGGTGAACTGAGCAACTCAAAAGATCAGTAATTTGTATATTCAATTTTAGTGAAAAGTTTAAAAATTTAAAAAAAATTACATAACTCCAAGGGTTCAAGTAGAAAGAAAATGTTGATGGCAACATATGCACAAGTGTGCTTAATACAGTTGAATGATGGATTGTCATAAGATTTGTAAGAGCCCCCCAATAAAATGATTAATAAAAATCACATAACTATATAAAAAAAATCAAAGGAATTTTTTCCCAAGAAAATAATGAAAGTAGTAGTAGTCTGCTTTCTTCATAGTGACAGTATCTGCAGAAGATACATTTACTTAAGGAAAAATATGGCAGAGTAATTAAACTTAATATCAGAAAAATTGAGGCTCAGATATCCAATTATTTCTCCATTTTGAAATCATGTTTTAGAAAATACTTGTACAGTAAATCGTCGTATGATGGAGTATTGTCATCAAAATTTAAACAGAGGATCTAGTTAAATAATTAAAGCCAATAATTAAAGCACTGAAGTGGTCAAAAGCTATATGTTTTCTAGCGCTATGTTTAGTTTTTCTTTCCAAAAGCACAGAGTTTGCTATTAGGACAATTCAGTATACCAATAAAATTTTATTTTGAAAGTACAGTACTATTATTTATTTAAGGATCCATGGTGGTGCAGTGGTTAAAGTGCTTGGCGGCCAACTTTAAGTTGGGTAGTTCCAGCCCACTAGCCACTCCATGAGAGAAATATGTGGCAGTCTCTTTATATAAAGAGTTACAGCATTGGAAACCCTACAAGCTACTAGTTCTAACTCTCTCCTATAGGATTTAGAATCGACTCAGTGGCAATGGGTACAGGAAACTCCCTACCTGTTTGTCAGTTTGTTGTACTGTGGCAGCTTGTGTGTTGCTATGATGCTGTAAAACTATGCCATTGATATTTAAAATTCCACTATAGTCACCCCTGGTGGACAGGTTTCAGAGAACCTTCCAAATTAAGACAGAATAGGAAGACAGGCTTGGTGATCTATTTTAGAAAATAAGCTAATGGGAATCTTATTGATGACAACAGCATGTTATCCTATAGAGGGCTGGAAGATGAGCCCCTTTAGGCTGTAAGGCATTATAAAATAGCCATAGCATTTCCAACAAAGATGAAAAATATACCAATGATTATGGTATAGGACCAGGCAACAGTTTGCTATGTTATACATAAAGTAACCATGAGTCAGAGCTGACTTGATGGTAATTAACAACAATAACACAAAATACTATATAACATATAAGGTGCATATATTATCTACTTTCATATATTTTCATGTTTTTCTGCCATGTTTTTAGACTGTCAGCTACAACCATGAGTAAATTTTTAAATTACTTGGTGGACTGAAATCTGCATTAAAAAATGAAATCAGATTAAAGAGACTCTATTAGAGGGCATTTCAGGTAATAAGAGTTCATACAAGGGCCAGTACCCCCTCGTATTGTTTTGAGACATGTTTGTTTTACATATATACATATGTATAAAACATGCTTGCTTACAGTGTGTCATAATATTAAAGGTATGTCTTAATGTGGGCTTCAGTCAAGAGAGTTAAAAGTCTATATGCTAGATTTCCTTCCAAAAGGCAGCATGTTGTTCCAGAAAGAAAAGATGTTTGGGGGACATATAAACCTCAGGTCATATTCTTGCTTTACCAGCCTACCGATGTGAGTTGGCTACTTAATTTTTATGAGGCTTGATTTCCTCATATGTAAAATAAGTGAGATCAATACTTACACATATATTCTATAAATATATAACTAATAATACCATGAATTATAATTAGTATTGAATTAAAGTAGCTTATTGTAAGAGATCAAGTTTAATAACATATTGGTCACAATTATATTCTTTCATCTAAAACAGTGGTTCTCAACTGTGGGTCACAACCCCTTTGGGGTCAAACGACCCTTTCACAGGGGTCGCCCAATTCATAACAGTAGCAAAATTACAGTTATGAAGTAGCAATGAAAATAATTTTATGGTTGGGGGGGTCACCACAACATGAGGAACTGTATTAAAGGGTCGCAGCATTAGGAAGGTTGAGAACCACTGTAATACATGAGTATTAAAGAGTAATAATACATTGTAATAAAGAGTAATACATGAACACATCACCCAATCTTAAAATACCAAAGTTACAACAACAAAAAAATCAAGTCCATTCCCCTCAAGTCAATTCTGCCTCATAATAACCTCACAGAGTAGAACTGCCCCATAGGGTTTCCAAGGCTGTCTCCCCCACCACCCCCCCCCATCCCCAAAGACTGTTATCTGCACGCAAGCAGTCTGCCTCACTTTTCTCCTACCGTGTGGGCCAGTGGATTCAAACCACTAATCTTTTTGCTGCAGCCAAGTGCCTGACCATTGTGCCACCACCAGGGCTCTTAGATCTGAAAATAGCTTATCTTAATGAAAAAACTTTGGAATAATTAAATCAATAATTTAAAGGAAAAGAATCAAGTGTCTTAAAGGCAATTATGACTACATCTATTCACTGAACTAGCTTAATGGAAGATTTCAATGATCAGGCTAAATGAAAACAGTATACCTCTATGAATAATATGAAGGGAAAAATACTTTTTATACCTTCTGGCAGGCTTTAAAAATCTCTCACCAATAATAATGTTAAATATCTGCAGTAAGAATGTTCCTATAATTATAAATAATTTGCTTCAATGCCATGCAGGGAGGAAAAGCCTTTAATCAAAACACCAAGACTTTTAGAAAAATATATTTTCTAGGTACTAATGAGTTGATTTGGACTCATGATGAATGCACACCTTGCAGACTAGAACTGGCCCGGGAGACTTCCTAGGCTCTACTCTTCACGGCAGATCGCCAGGCCCTTCTCCTGTGGAGCTGTGGAAGTGAGCTGGCATTAATGACCTAGTCCTGATCAGTCACACCAACAGTGCTTCTTTTGAAGATATAATATCGGAATGAATGTTAAATGTTTTGTGTTCTAATTTTGTCTTGTATTTTATTGATGTTGGAAAGCACTCAGAGAACTGTTTTCATTAATTTGACAAAAAAGTATTTCTGTTTCAGTAGACAGCCTTTGTTTTCTAAATGGGGAAGCTTATTTTTTCAGATTTGTGATCCTATTTAATTTTATATAGAAAATGTGATTTCATAATTTAAAATAAACACACTTGTCCTTGAAAAGATTGGAGATTTTTTCCTCCTTAATGAGAGAGAGAGAGGCACCAGGAATAAAGGGAATTTAGCTCTTCACAAACAAGGAAAATTATAAAACACTGTACATTAGATTTTCCTTGGAAAATTGTTTACCTTCCAGGGAACGAATGCTGTCCTACTACATCTCCATTTTGAAGGTGAAAATCATTGAAGAAATCTGGACTTATGGCTCCTTCAGAGGCAATTAACCCATCTAGTAAAAAGGAAAATATTAAACAATGAAACCACTTTGTAGAAAACAGTCAAGAACCATCCTAACAAGTAATACAATAGAAAGTAACATGGATATGTCATTGGGAAAGAAAAATGTCAGCACAACATGATATTCTCTCTGGCAGGGTAGAAGACCATATGCACTTAAGTGTTTTGTGGCACATCAATTCAGAACAATTCAACAAACATTTATTGACTATTGTGCCAGTTACAGTACTAGCTATAGAGATAAGGAAGACAACTTCTGTTTTCCAGGAGAAGCGAGTCTGTCAGAGAAAAAAAGACATCGAAAAAGATAAGAGGGTGAAGTGAGGTTGGGAGTGACAGGAAGAATGGTCCAGGCAAAGGAACCAGCAAAGCTAAAGACAAAGAAGCATTAAACGGCACACTGCTGGTAAAGAATTGAACTTAAGAGTACAACTAAGGAATTAGATATTTCAAATAATAAATTTCTAAATAAGCAATGCTAAACCTTTCAAGTGCTCAACCTTAAAACATACACACACAAACTTAAGTTAGAAATCTTTGTAAAACATATTTTATATTCTCTTGAAGCTCTGGTATCATAATATTGACACATTCATCTGCTAACTAAGAAGCTGGAGATTGAAAAGTATCAAGTAGCTTTGTTGGAAAAAAGACATGGAGATCTGCTACTGTAAAAGATTACATATAGCCTAGTCATAGAAATGGAAGAAAAAATAAAAGAAAAAAAGATTTCAGCCTAGGACAGATAAACCATTCAGGACCAATAATGAAAGTAACATACCATAAAGGTAGGGGGAATTGCCGGGGAGAAGGAGGATCCAATCACAATGATCGACATACAACACCCCCTCCCCAGGGCGACGAACAACAGAAATGTGGGTGAAGGGAGACAGCAGGCGGTGTAACATATGAAAATAAAAATAATTTATAAATTATCAAGGGTTCATGGAGGTGGGAGGGAGGGAGAGGGAGGGGAAAAAGAGGAGCCGATACCAAGGGCTCAAATAGAAAGTTAATGTTTAGAAAATGATGATGGCAACATGTGTACAAATATGCTTGATACAGCCCCCGATAAAATGATTTATATTAAAATAAAAATGAATAAAAAATTGAAATAAAAAAACTAAAAATAAGTAAATAAATATTTCAGTCTGGAGGAAAAAAGAAAGGACTGCAGCCTAGGAAACCCTATGGGCAGTTCTACTCTGTCTTGTAGGATCGTTCTGAGTCAGAAGCTATTCAGTTGAGTGAGTGGCATAAAATAGTACCTGAAGTTTATTAAGACTATTAGATATATAAGTCATTACTACAGTTTCAGCCCTTTTTCTTGGCTTGTAAAATTTCTTATTCTGAATCTAAATATTTGTTTCTCATATTGTTGACTTTAGAGTGTGTGATACAATAAATTTAATTTGACTTTCTTTAGTTCTTCAAAAACAGCTTTTGGTATTCCTTGATAATGGAGGTGTCTTTTTCATCTAAAACAACCCAAACTAACCCAAACACACTGCCATCAAATAGATTTTGATGCAGAGTGACCCTATAAGACAGAGTAGAATTGCCGTAATGGATTTCTAAAACTGTAATTTCTTTACCACATGGAGATCTGCTACTTATTATGTGTTGAGCAGATTAATGCATAACCCACCATGCCCCAGGGCCCCTTTCTAAAACAGTCAAGCAATACTTAAATGCATGTGAATGAGTGGAGCCCACGAAGACCATACCTGGTCAGCTAATCTCTGGAAGGGAAGGCAGCATGCCATTTGCGCATATCCAATGATTCAATCAATTTTGCAATGCAGTCTTAACTATGACTATGCAATAGTAAAATGAATGAGGTCCTGAACAAGGAAGCTCTTGGGGATTCCTGGATTGGAAGGGTGGCACATATCTGGGGACATTAGAGACCTAACATGGGGACTCCTCTCAAACTCTTCACAGTGAATCTCTTCATTTGTACCTTTTCTGATTATATCAAATAAATATTTTTAAGTATTTGTAAATATAAATATTACAGATTTTCTATAAATTCTGTGAGTTGTTCCATAGAATTATAGAACCCATCGGGGCAGGGGAGCCAGCATGTCAGAAGTTAGGGGTGGGCTTTCCTTCAAACTTATGGCTGCTACCTGGAAGGGGTTCAAGGAAACTCTCGGTGTGGGGTGGACAGGAACTACTGCAGACACCTATACTTGTGGCTGGCACCCATTGGCCCAGGATCTGGTGGTGGGGGATAGCAGAGAGGCACCTGGATCTGCTGGAAACTAAAATAGAGAAGTAAGAAGGTGAGAACTGGATTACCTCCATATTCATGTAGGAACTAGATTCATGCTGATCCTCACTATGAAGTTAGCAATAAAAGTGGGATTTGCCCACTGTGTCCTTTGTTTAGAGCAAATTGCAATTAGTTTACCTTTTGATCAAACTTAAGCATCCAGACTGCTAATTTTGAATGGGCTTATATATACATTAAGATTAAAAGGGATCTGAAAAAAAATCTCTAAGTGATGATTTCATGGGGTCATCCTATGCATAAAGCACATACATTTAATATATGGCTTTTGTAATAACTAATTGCATGGCACTGAGACCTTTCGACATTTCCTTTTCTGAAAGTGTGCTGGATAGTTGAATGAAGAGAGATGTTGGCTAGCTGGGTGACACTCTCCACAATGTTTGTAAATTTGACACACAGTAGACCAATTGTTCAGACACCAAATGATCATTTTGTACCTAATAATATGCTAGGTCATGTATGAAATATGTTAGAAAATATGTACTTGGGGTAGGAGAAGGGTACGCCATAAGTGTAACCTGACTTGATTCTTCAAAGATAGGTAAGATTCAAATCATGAATCTGAGGAGTAAGGGTGTGAGTGAAAGATAAAACTAAGTAATAGAGTTGGCAGAAGAAGAAGTGAGATAATTTGCATTTTCATAGGACAGACTGCCTACACTACTCAGTTGTTACATCTATATTTATAATATCATGTTATGGCTTATATTAATTGTTGAATTTTAAAAAATCATTTTATTGGTGGCTTATACAACTCTTATCACAATCCATACATGCATCAATTGTGTAAAGCATTTGTACATTCGTTACCCTCATCATTGTCAAAACATTTGTTCTCCACTTAAGCCCTGGGCGTCGGCTCCTCATTTTTCCCCTCCCTCCCTGCTCCCCCCTCCCTAATTGTTGAATTGTTAATGAACATTGTAGGTAAGGTATTCATTATTTCTTCATTGAATTTAAAATACTTGAGAGTTCAAGCATCCATTAATAGTTTCATTATTATATAGTCCAGTTTTTATGTACTCTAAAAGTAAAGATTCTAAAATCAAAAGACCAGCCAAACACAAGACATTATAAAAAATGAAAACTGCCTAAACCCTATACACTGAGAATTAAGTAGTTTAAATTAAGAAAAATAAATTTAATGTGGATCTGAGATTTTGTAAACTTGTAACTAAAATTAACAAGGTTAAAATCACACAAATCAACACACTCTTCTGCTAAATGAAAACCAAATAACTGAGGATCAGGGATGAAGAAACCTGCCAATTTTAGAGGGAAAAAAAGCTAAGCAAAATTCCAAAATTAAATGTATTTTGGAAGTGAATGCAAAAGTAGTCAACATGCCAGTAGAATAGATGATTCTTATACCCAGAAATATTTGATAGAAATACAACAAAATAAAAAGATACATTTTTTGGGTTAATGCTATGTTTAAAAATGCATATTACAGGAAATGTGACTGACTGAAGTAAACCAGAGTAAGAAGAAATAAAATGAAAAGATGTGATCAAATTCTGAACATTGTTTCAATTTAGAGCGCCTGTTGTCTTCAAAGAGAACGATGAGTACCAAGAGGATATATGGTTTCCAGAGAGCTACACACACGGGGAGCTCATCAAATGAAAAAAATTTGAGTTTAAATATACTGTCAAAAATTTTATACACACAGAATATGACTAGTTTAATAATATGATGAATGTATGAATTATTTGTACTTTTGAAGTTCACTTCTAATCATCCCGAGGCACAGCAGTTCATTCAGTAAAATACATTTTCTAGAGTGCAGATCTACAGCACTTTGATGGCCTGGCAAAAGTCAGACAGCACTGATGTCAGGAGCAATTTTTCTCCACTAAAATGAGGTGTGAGAGTCTCATTAAAGTCTTGACTTCTTTGGATATATTAAGTTGTTTCTCAGGGCTCCACATCTAAAATCAAGTCTTTCGTAGTAGTAGTTAAAAAAATAATCACATATTCTTGATTACAGAGCCTAGATCAATCCAACAGTATCCTTCTCAAGCTCTTACTTTACAATGTTGTTTCAAAGATAGCAACCAGAAACCAAAAGATTTCATGCAACATTTATATGGCCAAAGAACAGAGAATGAAGATGGTATTACCAGAGCACTTTGTAGCACATTAAAACACATGTAGGATATTAAATTACAGGAAATATTTTAGACCAGAGCTATACAACTACCTTTCTGATGTTCTCCAAGTAACAGTAATAAAAATGTTTAGGAACAAAATGGGCTAATATCTTTCACTTGGAGGCCTGGTGGTGTCATGGTTGTGCATTGAGCTGTACAGTGATCCACAGGGTCAGCAGTTAGAAACCGCCAGCCGCTACACAGGAGAGATGGGCTTCCTGCTCCCTCAAGGAGTTATAGTCTCAGAAAGCCACGGCAGGTCTACTCTGTCCTACAGGTTGCTATTTGTTGGCAGCAACTCAATGGCAGTGAGAAAGTAAGTAATCTGAAACCCACCACCATTGAGTCAATTCTTACTTAGAATGGCTTGATAGGGTAGGGCAGAGCGGAGTGGCTGGTGGGTTTGAATCACCAAAGTTGCAGTTAGAAACCCAATGCTTAACCCAGTACCTCATCAGGACTCTGAAATCAAAGCAAATTTAGTTGTCATCACAGCAATTTATCAACGTTCTGGTATCTGAAAACCAGTCAAAAACTGGT